CTCGTCGTCACGCGAGGTCGTTCTCGTGTTGGCACGGGCGGGTGTCGTTGCAGGTCGTGAGTGTCGGTTTGTAGTCCATCGGTCCGTTGCCGCGGTTCCACAGGGAGGGATGGGGACTCCTGAGTCTAGGTGTGCTCCCGGGAAGGAGCCCGGATGGATTTTCCGGTTAACAGGCGGCTGAGGCACTCATAAACCAGGCTCCGGAAGACTCTTCGCGGTTGGGGTGGCAGCGTCTAATCAGAAAGGACGGGTCAGAGAAGTTGCCCCGGGCCTGCTGTCATGTGGGCGTCCGCGTCGTCGTCAACGTCGTTCCTGCGCGGGAACCGTTATCGCCAGCGTCCGTGGGGGCTCGAAATCCCCCGTGCCCTCGCGTGCGTCTTCGGTTCCGTTGGTTCGTTGGTATTGTCGCTCGTCTTCCCTCGCGGGTTTGTCGCTGCAGGGGGCGGTGATGTTACGGACAGAGGTTGGTGCGAGTCTTCTTGGTCGAGGAGGATTTCGTCGGTTCGTCAGTGCCGGGCTAAATGGAGGGAAGTGGCTTTCAGAATGTAGTGTGCACCGAGCAACAGATTCGGGCTTGCATGGTTTGCGCGCCCCCGTGCGGGGGGCGCTCGGCGCCGCTGTGCTCTCTGGTTCGGCGCTGGGAGGTTCGAGCGCGAGATCCGAACTCACCTGGCGCCAAAGCCACTGACAATTCTCGGAAGCTCCGAGCAGCAGATTTGGAGCTGCATGGGTGGCAGTTTGAGGAATGGATCAATTTGAGGAGATGGTCGGGTGTCGTTCAGCGCTCGTTGCTAGGCAGCGAAGTAAAACCAGGTGGTGGAAGGGCGAGGGGCAGGGGCCGGAAGGGAAGAGGAAGATGTGCAGAGGGTTCTCCATTGGTCGTGGGGGCTCGGACGATGTCGTCTTCAGTGTCGACTGCGGCGTCGGCTCCGTTGGTGCACTCGTTGCTCGGTTTTTGTTCGCTCACGTCCATCATGCTTGGGTAATGACGTTGTTTCGGAGGGGCGTGGAGGCTTATCGTTCTACTGGGGGTGTCGTCCGTCGTTCACCTCGACGCAGTGCCAGCGGGGGGCCGACAGTTGCAGATTGCAGGGTGCTCCGAGCAGCGAGTTACGGATTGCATGCTGCAATTTGGAGGGTGGCGAACGCCGTGGTGATCTCCAGCGTGGCGCCTGGTCGTTGGAGAACACAAAGTGGCCACTGGTCGGGGAGCAGAGGGGTGTGAGTCCGTAGCCAATGTCCAGAAGGTCTTGTAAGTCTTAGAAGCTCGCACGAGCGCGGGCGGCGCGTTTGCCGGTTGCAGGCGGCGGAGGCGTCAGAGAGCGGGAGAAAGGTCAGCGGATGCGGACGCGCCCTCGCCCGGTCATGTTTGCGCCTTGGTCGCCTCGTTCTGCCATTGTTCCGCCCTCTTCTCTTCGGGATCATGTTATGTTGTCTCCTTTTCTCTGGGTTATTGCTTTGCTCCCACCTCCGCCGATTCATCCTTGTTCTTCGGCTGTTCTTGCGCTCTTCCGCGTCCGTCCCCGGCGTGGCGCGTCTGCGGTCCCCCATCGCAGCTCCTGTGGAGCGTAGTGCACATATGCGGGAAATCCCGGGCCCCGGCCCCCGGACCTGTGCCTCACTTGTTTTTGCGGTGCGCGCCCCCCCCTGGGACGGCCACCGGGCGGCCTCCGGGCCTCCCGGAGTGCCCGAGATGGCCGCCAGACACCGCAAAGCTTCTCCAGGAGGCTTCTACAGAGCCATCGGAGCGCACCGCCGAGAATACAGAGGCCGCCCACCTGCCTCGATAGCCTTCCGGGACCACTTGCAAGGAAGCATCGAGAGGTACAACTCGTTGATTTTCTTTGGGTTTTTAACACATTTCGCATTGGAGCTCCAGAGGCGCCCGCTCGCTCCGCACTTCTCCAGATGACAGCCTTCGAGGCGCTCACGAATGCCTTATGAGGGTCCCAGGTGCCCCGAAAAATGCCCCAGAGGGGGTCCAGATCCTCGTCGGAGGGGGTCCCAGACGACACTCCGAGAGTCCTCCGGGCTTCTCTGAGTGCCCGAGATGGCCCCCAGACCCCGCAAGGCTTCTCCAGGAGGCCTCTACAGAGCCATCGGAGCGTACCACCGAGGTTACAGACGCCCCCACCCTTCCTGGACAGCCTTCCGCGACGACTTCCAAGGAAGCATCGGAGGTGAAAATCGTTGATTTATTTGTTTTTTTCCACACATTTCGCTTTGAAGATCCAGAGGCGCCTCGTCGCTCCGCACCCCTTCAGAAGACTGCCTTCGAGACGCTCGTGAATGCCCTCAGACGGCCCCAGGCGCTCGCAAAGCTGCCCCAGAAAGAAGTCCAGCTCCTCCTCAGAAGGGGCCCCAGACCAGACTCCGAGGGTCCTCGGGGCTTCTCTGACTGCCTCTGGTGGCTCCCAGACCCCGCAAGGCTTCTCCAGGAGGCCTCTACAGAGCCATCGGAGCGTACCACCGAGGTTACCGACGCCTCGACCCTCCCTGGACAGCCTTCCGCGACGACTTCCAAGGAAGCATCGGAGGAGACAGGATGGGGGAGGGAAGACGCAGGGATGAAGGGAAGGAGGAGGGAGGAGCGAGGAGGGAGGAGGGGGGACTGAGGAGGGAGGAGGGAGGAGGGGGGAGAGAGGAGGAGGAGGAAGGGGAGAGAGGAGGAGGAGGACGAGGAGGACGAGGAGGAGGAGGACGAGGAGGGAGGAGGGTGGGAGGATGAGAGGGGGAGAGAGGAGGGAGAGGGGGGACGGAGGAGGGAGGAGGAGGAGGGGGGGGGCAGGAGGAGGAGGAGAGGAGGGAAAATGTGGAAGAACAGGGGGAAAAGGAAGAAGAGGAGAACGAGGACGAGGAGGAGAAGGAAGAGGGGGGGGGTGGGGAGCGACGGAAGGCATGGGGCAGGAAGGCAGAGCGGGAGAGAGGAACGAAAGGAGGGAGGAGACGACAGAGGAGCCACAGGAGACGGTGCGGCGACAGAACCAATACTGGCAAAAAGAGGAGCGGAGCAGGAGCAATAGTAGACAGAGGAAGAGGAGATGCGGGAGAGGGCGAGGACGAGAAGAGGCCGGAGGAGCAGGTTGTGGCGAACGAGGAGGTGGAGAAAGAAGAGAAGAAAAGGAGGAGGAGAAGTCGGAGCACGAACCCGGGCGCGCCCTCTATCGAAGGACCTCTGACGCTCTTGTTCGCCTTGATTTGCCATCGATCCCGCTCGCCATGCTTAGTGCCAGGAGGAGACAGAGGGGGGGGATTAGAGCAAAGGAGGAGGAGGATATGGAGGAGGAGGGATGATGATGATGAGGAGGAGGAGGAGGAGGAGAAAGAAGGAGGAGGAGGATACATAAATGGAGGAGGGCGCTGAAGAGGAGGAAAAGGGGGGATGGGCGAGGAGGACGAGAAGGCGGAGGAGGAGGAGGAGGAAGAGTAAGATGACGAAACAGAGGAACCACATGAGAAGAACGAGGAGGAAGCGGAGACGGGGAGTGATGAGGGTGAGAGGGAGGATGGCGAGGAAGAGGAGGAAGAGGACGAGGGGGATGAGAGGAGGGGGAGGAAGAGGGGGATGGTGAGCAAGAGGAGGAGGAGGATGAGGAGGTGGAGAGGGAGGAGGCATGGGTGACGCGGAAGAGGAACTGTGAGGTCAATAGACAGGAGAATAGTGAGGAGAAAGGGGGGGCTGGAGACGACGACGCTGCCAAACAAACGGCGGGTGGCTCGATCACCGCGCATCGAACGCCGCGCTCCAGGCTCAAGAAGCTTTGAGCGACCTCAGGGCTGCAGCTGGCTCCACCCCTGCTGGCCCTTTCTGGGGGGCCGGCGGCGCGGGAGGCGCGGCAATGGAGGTTTTACCGGTTGTACCTCAAACAACCAAGGGCTTCATCGGTTGCGCCAAAAGCAACCGAGGGCTTTGCCGGTTGCGCCATAAGCAGCCAAGGGCTTTACCGGTTGAGCCACAATCAACCAAGGGGGCGCCAGTGTCCATAAGCCGGCCCCCCGGTAACGGGGTGGTTCGTGGTGTGTGTCAGAGATGGCACGCCCGCGTTCCTGCATGGGCCTTTCGGCCAGCCGGTGGCAGACCGGTCCCCCGGGGGGGGTGCCTCGTGGCAGACTCCTCAGGAGTCGCGCCGCGTTGCTGCATTATTCCAGGAAAGAGGTATGCTTTCAGAGAACGTACGACAAGCAAGCGTCACTATCGAGGTCGGGAGCACGTCTTGCACATATGTTGTCGCAGCAGGGCGGCTGGGCCTTGTTCACGGCCCCATCCATGGCACTGCAGCGCAGTGCAAGCGGGAGGGGCAGGGCGTGGTCGGAGCGCGAGGCACAAGGCAGGCGTCGCAGTGGTGCCGCGGAAGCAGAGCGCCGCACGTGCACGCGTCCAGTTGTATCGTCACTTTGCACATTGTGCTGGGGCAGGATCGGTGTCTGCCACGCTCGCATTGTCGATGCTCGCCGCCGGATATCACTGTGGGTCAATGGGCGATTGCATTGGGTGCACGGCCCAGTTGGCGATGCAGGCTGCGGTGGAATGTGGAGTGCGCGTGAGATGGCCTCTGCTGGTTGCTTCGTGCGTCAGCCCCCTGTTCCCGCCAGCGGCGGGGGGCGCTGGTGGGGGGCGCGCGTGGTCGAGAGAACTGGCGTTCAACGTTGCAGAGTTTTTGGGATATGAGTTGTCGCGCCGCGTGGACCTGCCGCATTGCGGCGCGTCTTTCCGAAGCGCTGGGAACACATGCTATCTGCTTGCGCTGGTAAACGTTCTGGGCAGCATTCCGTCGATAGTAGCGTGGGCAACGCAGCATGTGGGCACTGTGGGGGGCGCGTGCCCGCGGAACTGCGTGTTGTGCAACGTGGGAGACGACATCAGGGACATGCGTCGGCAAGAGGAGCGGGGGCCTGTAGTCCCGGGAGTAGCAGCGTCTAGAGCGACATGGAGCGGGGGGTTATTCGCAGGGACCGCGCAGCAAGATATTCACACGGCGTTCGTGACGTTGACAGCAGCCATGCACGCAGTGGACATGGCCAGGTTCGCGACAGCGGTGCCTGATCGCCGGCTGCAGCACGGCGCGAGGGACGCGGAGGCTCTGACCGCACCGCTGTGGTCCGTATTTGGTGGCGTTCAGGAGACGATGTTAAGGTGCAGCGCGTGCCAGTCAGAGAGCATGTCGGATGGGGAGCTGTTCTCGTGTATTTCACTGGCGCCCCCCACGGCGTCAACCACGCTGGAAGCCCTGGTGGCAGAGCTCGAGTCAGTAGAGAAGTTGACGAGTGCTGGGGACACGTGTTCGAGGTGCGGGGTGGGGGGCGGACTGCAAAAGCAGATTCGCATCGCGAAGTGGCCGCAGGTAGTCTGCTTCCATATCCGCGGACTTCCCCTGCAACGTACTTCGGGCGGATGGCTGCGGGAGAAAGTCAATGGGCGTGTGGCTTTCCCGCTAGTGTTCAAGGGGGTCTCTGGGGATTGGTCAGGTGAGTTGGCCGCCGTTTGCGTGCGCGCGGGAGATGGGTGCAGCGGACGCTACGCGGCGTACGCGGAAACGTGTAGCGGGGAATTGGTGCACTGCGATGACGCGGACGTTCCGAGGTCCGCGTCAGAGGCGGAGGTGCAGCAAGCGCAGGCGTTCTTCCTCTTATATGCACGCACGGACTCGCCATCAGAGGAGCAGGTGGCCGAGAGGAAGCGACGCCGACTCGCATCTCCACGGGGGGAGTCGCCTGACCAGGCGCAGGCTTCCATTGCCCAGCGCGGTGGCCGCGCCGCGGGGAGCAGTTTCGGGCGTTCGTCGGGAACTTCGGCCCGCAGCGTCAAGGAGTCGGACGAGTCGGAGCATGTACTGCGGAGTGCCGACCGCGGAGTAGCGCCCGAGGCTGGCCGTCGCAACGCCGCGACGAACGGTGGCGCTGACCGCCTTGTAAGCAGACCGACGTCGCAGGACAAGACCTATCCAGTCGAGGGCGCCTCCACGGCTGAGAGAACGACGCTGCCCGGCGACGTCGGCGCGGGCAGGGGGGGCGACGCAGACTCCGCGCGACGCGGTATGCCTGAAGATGGCCGACGCGGCGCCAGCGCGGCGGCGCGGGGAGCCCCTGGAGTTCACGGGCGGGGCGCGTCGAACGCGGGCGAGGCGGGGACAGGATCAGGTCTGCCGCGCGCTATGGTCTCGGAGCTCGCAGGGATGGTCGCGCGTCCGAAGCGGAGGGGGGGGGCGCGCGGCGGCGGAGGCGGAGATGTGTTTACCAGGGAAACATTGGTTGCTGCGTGGCGCGGGGGCGGATGCAGCGATGGGCCAGGGTGCGGCGGCAGGTGCGCGGGTGGCGCGGTCGAAGCGGGGGTCGGCGGCGAGCAGACAGAGGGCGCGGAGAAGCAGAAGCGGGGCCAGATGGAGGCGCAGCGCGCTTGCAGCGAGACCGAGGAACGAAGGGGGCCCGCGGGCCGTGGCGGAGCGGCTAAAGAAGGGTCCGGTGCGAGGAGGGGTGGCGATGAGACAGCATCTGTTGTTGCAGCCGAGGTCGGAGGAAGTTGCGCCTGCCCCCGCAGAGCGGATGCTGGGGGGCAGGGTGTCAGTCAGGGAAGAGTGGGCGGGATGGGAGCAGCGGGCCCGGCGACCGCGGCGGCCGCGGATGGGGGCTCGCCAGGCGACGCCGTGGGCCGCGAGGCTGCGGGGCATATCGAGACTCCAGTGGCGGACGAGGCGCAGGAGTGGTTCTTCGCGGCCCGCGTGGACCCGCACTCGCAAGATCCTCGGAGGAACCGAGAGAAGGCCGTGGCAGAGGCGGCGGCGCTCTTGCGGGAGTGCCCGGGCGCGCCTGGTGACCCGGAAGATCCGTCCGTGCCGTGGGGGGATGCGTTGGCCGAAGACCGTGCGGTTGAATTGCCAGCCGCGCACTGCGCGTTCCGCGGGTGTCGATGGGCGGGCGACGCAGAAGCGGCCTTAATCGAGCACGTGGCTACGGGTCACGGGGACGTCCTACAGCCAATCGCGGACACGTGCTCTCCGGCGCACGAAGAACGCGAGAGATTGGTGGCTGCGTGCAGCGAAGTGCTGTCGCAGAGAACGCGGCAGGACGCGCCGCTCTCCACGTATGCCCAGCATCGCCGCAGCCTCAAAGGGTATGCGGACGCGACAGCCAGCAAGAACGTGTGTGCGCCTATATGCTTTCTCTGCGCTTGCTCGTTTCCGCGGGTGCGCGATCGAGAAAACAATGAAATTTCATGGGGGAAATTGTTTGAGGGCGAGCCTGGATATAGCTCTCGAGTAGCGCGCCTGGGTGCGTGGTCCATAACGGACGCGTCGCGCGAGTTCGGTCCAAAAATGTCCTGTCGACTTCCAGGGCGACAGGAGATTTTGCCCTTTCGACCAAAAATGGTAGTTTCGCTTGGGACTTCTTCAAAACAACGTCTGGTTGCTCTCCATGCCGCCAGACATTGGCGATTTCGCCCGAGACTTCCTGAAATCCAAGTTTCTGGTCCTGATTCGCGCAGCCAGAAATTTAAAATTCCCTGTGAGACTACCTCCAGGCCGAATTTCTCGTCCACGTCATGCCGCCAGAAAGTGACGACTTCGCGTGCGACTTTCACAGCGATGCTTTTCGGTCCACGATCGACGAGCGAAGAATCAGGGGGCGGTTCCTTCGTAAAGTGCCGATCGTAGCTTTTTGATTCAGGGGTGTGTGGGAAGGGCGGCCGCCGCGACGAGGACTCCGAAAGAGCCGGCCGAGCAGCAGAAGGTCGCGAGCGCGCCAGCGGGCTACGGCTACGGCGCCAGCAAGGCCTCCCCAGGGGGATCGCAACGTGTTTGCGCTGGTCGTGGAGAGCGCCGCTCCGCAGCGCTGAGGACATGCTTGCCCAGCCCGAGCCCCTTCGCACGGCTTGAAGATGCGACGGAAGGTTCTTTACCGCTCTCGGCTCTGGGTCCGTTACGAAACAGCCTGGGATGGAAAACCGGCCCCGGGGAAGATCTCCAGGCTGCTCGCGAGGGTGCGAAGATCCGCGCTCCGCGCGTCGCGCTCTGGGCCAGAGCGGCCGTCCTGCTCCAGGGGGGCGGCGCGGTGGCGCGGGGGCGAGGAGATGGCCGCGCGTCGCGCATCGCAGGGATCGGGGCGCGAAGTTTTGAGGCGGCCCGGGGATCGCCAGGAGGCCACGCTGTCAAGAAAGCGCTGCGTCCGGGGGGGCCCGTGGAGGTCCGGGCCCTCCGCGCGTGGTCGGAGCCGCGTGCCCGAGGTTGGCGCTGCAGGAGGGCCAGCTCTTGGCCACGGCTGCGGCCGTGGGGCCCGCACGGGTCGCTCCGGTGGGGGTCTCCGCCGGGAAGGCCGCCGGAGGCGGTCGGAACATCGGGGGCGGAAAGGAGGGGGGTGATGACTAGGGGGGGGGGTGGATATCATGGCGGGGGCCATGATATTTCCCCAGATGTTCTGGCGCCTCTTCTGATTTCGTTATTACTTCCCTGGCCTCCCCGCTGGGCCGCGTACATGCCGCCGGTCATGATTTGCACCCCCCCTCTTGGACACCCCCCTCTTGGCCGCTCCCGAGAAAGGGAGGGGTGCGCCCCCAGGAGGTGTCAATGCTGGAGGTGTTCCAAGAAGGGGCCCTGCTTTCGAGGAGCGGAGGGGCTGCCATCGCTGCCGCGGCGGAGGGCGGCGGAGGGCGGCGGACACCTGCGGAAGTAAGACGAGGCCGCCTCCGCCGGCGGAGGGCCGGCGGGAGGCCGGCGGGCGGCGGCGGAAGTAAAAGACGCGGCCCCAAGCGATGGAAACGGTTTTGGGTTCAGGGGTTCCAGAATCTGCCATTCCCGATCCAAGGCTCCTGGAGTCGGCCACTGTCGACGTCGTCGTCGTCGTCGTCGTCGTCGTCGTCGTCGTCGTCGTCGTCGTCGTCGTCGTCCGTCGTCGTCGTCGTCGGCGGCGGCGGCGGCGTCGTCGCCGGCTCGCCATGGAGCAATCGGGTCTTGAAGGGAGCGGGTCCTGAGGCTCTTCTCCGCGCTCGGGCTCCCAGGGCAGACCTCCCTGGGGCCCCAGGGCCGCCAGGCAGCGAGCTCGGAGGAGAAGCTGGTCCCGGGGAGAGGCCCCAGGATCCAGGAGCCGCTTCCCTGGTGATCGTTTTCTTGCTCCTTGTTCTGCCGATCGGCGCGGGCCCTCGCACCCCCTTCCCCCCCCCCCTGGAGTAGATCTTGGTTGTTCTTGGCGCCTGTTTCACGCGGGTGGAGTCTCCCCCGTTGGACGCACTGTTGGAAACAGTCGCATTGAGCGAAGGTCTGGAGCCAGACCCCCCCCCCTCCCCCCCCCCCCTTCCACCCCCCCCCCATTCCGCCCAATGTCGACACGCCTGGGGGCCCGCTTCTTTGTCGTGCCGGATCGTGCGATCGAGAACGCACGGCACGGCACGGCACGATCGATGGGCTCGCGCCTTGTCACCGATGCCCCGCTTCGTGGAGGTGCTTGGTTTTCGTGGCGTTGACGCTCGAGCGATGCTCTGCTCAGCGTGTCGGTATCGTCCTGAGGCCCTCGGCCACGGCGAGTCGAGTTGCGATTTGGTGCGCCATTCGTTCGTGTCACTCGATCCCATATCAAGACCTCGCCCAGAAGGATAAAGCACAGATATCATGGTTTCTTGTTGTTCTGAACTGGGTGGCCTTCACTGTATGCGTTGGCAGGCATGCTCGCCCTAGGATTAAGCGCACGTGGGGTCTTATCGCAAATTGGCCACTACCCTGAAAGGTTCGGCGGATCATACCTATCCGACACATGCCTGCAGCTTTGCCCTTCAGGATATTGCACTTCTGATGGCAGTCTCTGCACGTACCCATCAACCTCGCAGGCGCGGACAGATCCAGACCTCCCCAATGGTGTCCGAATAGATGAGGTCGGAAGATCGGGCAGCATCGCCGACGCATCACCGACGATGCAGTGGTGATGCCTTGGCGATACGGCGCGATCCTCCGACCCGATACATTTGTTGAGCGAAAGTTCGGGCGTCGAGTAATTAATGGGGGTGCGATACCTGGGAGGGGTGCAGCTGGGTGTGCCTGCTGTGCCCTGCAGGGGCCCTGATGGGGCCTCCTGGGGCTCAAAAGGGGCACGGAAGATGCACGCTTCTCTCCCCCCCTCCCTGCCTCCCTCCTTCCCGCCCGAAAACATGCACCTCTGCGCAGCCCATCACCAGCGCCGCTGCTGGGTCTCGGGATCCCTGGGCGCCGCCGCGCCCCCCCCGGCCCCTGGCAGCTCCCACGGCGGGGCCTCGGGCCCCCCCGCTTTGCCGGAGGCGTGCGAGGTCTTAGCTTAGCATCGCTCGGACGGGTGCGTTTTTTGTTGCCTTTGCGGCGAGGACCATCGAGGAGCATTTTTGTTCACCCTGCGAGAAATTATGCGCACGGAACCGAAGAAGGGCACAGGGAATGGACGTCCGAGCGATGGCGAGTTAGAGAGGTGGGGGAAGGTTTCGTTGCTTCTTGGAGGTTTTCTGCCTTCGAGATGTTTTCCAGCGGCTGTGCCTCGTCGAGAGCTTTCCAGGGGTGCCCGAATCGTCCCGAACGGCCGCTGGAGATTCGAGTTATGGCCCGGGAAACCATCCGGTTTCGACCAGAGGTGTGCCGAAATGGGTGGCGGGGACGCATGTGATCACAGCCACTGGGGCCTTCGGTGGAGCTCCCCATGTGGCCACGAAATCCTTGAGGGGTTTGCCGAAATAGATGGCGGGGACGCTTGTGATCACAGCCACTGGGGCCTTCGGTGGAGCTCCATATGGGGCCACGAAACGTGTGAGGGGTGTGCCGACATGGGTGGCGGGGACGCGTGTGATCACAGCCACTGGGGCCTTGGGTGGAGCTCCCTATGGGGCCACGAAGCTTGTGAGGTGTGTGCCGAAATGGGTGGCAGCACATATGTGATCACAACCATTATGGGTTTCGGTGGAGCTCTCTATTGGGCGACGAAGCGCTGTACTGGGTGGCGGAGACGCATGTGATCACAGCCACTGGGGCCTTCGGTGGAGCTCCGTCTGGGGCCACGAAGCGCGGTACTGGGTGGCGGGGACGCATGTGATCACAGCCACTGGGGCCTTCGGTGGAGCTCCGTCTGGGGCCACGAAGCGCTGTACTGGGTGGCGGGGACGCGTGTGATCACAGCCACTGGGGCCTTCGGTGGAGTGCCCGATGTGGCCCTGAAATGCTGTATCGGATGGCGCGGACGCATGTGATCACAACCACTGGGGCCTTCGATGGAGTTCCCCATGGGCCACGGAGCGTGTGAGGGGTGTGCCGAAATTGGTGTCGAGGACGCAGAGGATGGGGAGGAGGGGCGAGGAGGAGAAGGAGGAACGCGGGGCGCTGTCTCTTCAAAACCAGGGCTCAACACCACAGGAATGTTGGGCAGAAGCCAGACGGAAAATCAAGGATGTTGTTCTTCTTGCCTTTCCGCGTCGGATGGGCTGTCGAGGCTTTCAGACGACCCAAGAGGCCCACAAGTATGTCACAAGAGGCCCCCAAAGCCTCCCAAGAGGCCCCACTAGGCCTCCTGGCCCTCAAGCGGCCTCCAGGGCCCCCCCCCGCAGCCCTGGCAAGGCCCCCCAGAAGGCCCCAAGTGGTCCTCAAGAGGTCCCAAGAGTCTCCAAGACGCCCCCAGGAGGCCCCCAAAGCCCCCCCCTCAGCGGCCCAGAACGCCCTAAGGGCGGCCCAGGAAGCGTCCTCCAAACGCGACCAATAAGGGGAAATCGAAAGAACTTTCGGGCCCTTCCCCCGCAGGCGGCCTCCACGATCCCGACCGTGCCCACCAACCGACGACCCTCCCAAGGGAGTCCAAGACGCCCCCAAGACGCCCCACAAGGTTCGTAAAGCAGTGCTAGTGGGGAGGCAGAGGGGGCGGGCCTTCTCAGAAGTGTCAGAAGATCCCCGGCGAAGCCGCCCAGGGCTTACCAGAAGGCGTGAGGGCCCTTGAGAAGCCCCGCTTCCTTCTGAGAAGGCCTGCCCCCTCTCGCTCTCCCTCTCGGCGCGCCGCCGATGCGGCACGAGGGTGGTTGCCTCCCCGTGGCCATCGCGCGCGCGCGCCCCAGCCAGGCGTTCAGCGACGACGGCGAGGGCAGCCGGAGCGGCAGCAGCAGCGCAAGCAGCAGGAGCGGGCCGTTCCCTACTCTTCCTCCTCCTCCTGCTCCGTCTCCTGCTCCTCCTCTTCGCTCCTCTTCGCTCCCTATTCCTCCCTCCATCTCCTCCTCCTGCTCCTCGAGTGTCTGAGGTGCCCATATCATGCAAAGGAATCGCAGCCAATACTCGCCCGCAGGACTACAAACAAAGCGCTCGCCCAGAGGATCGAGTAGCACATGAAACGAGAAGCCATGACGGGAGGCGCAACCCCAACAACCGTGGGGGCGCATGCAGCCTTGATGGGAAGCGCAGCCCATCAGACGTGGTGCGCAGGTGGAATGGCGTATCGGGTATAAGAACCGATGCACTCGGCATATCTAGAACACTGCTGAGCGACACTCACTGGTGGACGATCTCAGGGCTTCTGGCGGCCACGTGGCAGTACATCTTGCCGAAGGCGGCCTTGTCGCTGAATAGAGGCAGGACAAATGCGGCTACCCCAGGCTGCCCTTCTTGAGCAGCAAGGTCGTACAACAGCTGGAACACCGGGTCGTTAGCAACTGGCTCCCGATGTTAGTCTTCGAAGGCGGCCGTCTGGAACGCAATGCAAGATAGTTCTTCGTGTGGGGGCCGATTTGCTCGAGACAGGATGCCTTGACGCGAATGGCCTCAGCACCACTCTTGAAGGCCCAGCGGTCAGCAGCGTCGTCGTAGAAATGTTTTACGCTTCGCGTATCCCCACCAGCCCATCTCTCAACAGCAACTCTTGCGAAGCATGCCGACAGTGGTGTTTTTACCTAACAGCGAAGACTGATAGGTTTCTAGTGGTCTCAAAAGAGCTCACAGATCACTCCACAGGGGGGTCCGGGCAGGTGTTGGGGCGTTTCCGGGCGGCATGAGCCGGGCTCGTTTTTCACCAACAGTCACACACTTCGTGCTCTTCGCCTTCCCAGAACTCCATTCCCAGGCCACATTCTGGGGGGCCGGATGCAACTGTAGGCCACTTCGTGCTCTTCGACATCCCAGAACGCCATTCCCGGGCCACATTCTGGGGGGCCGGATGCAACTGTAGGCCACTTCGTGCTCTTCGACATCCCAGAACGCCATTCCTGGGCCACATTCTGGATGCCCGGAGCCAACTGTAGGCCACTTCGTGTTCTTCCATTTCCCAGAACTCCATTCCCGGGCCACATTTTGGATGCCCGGAGCCAACTGTAAGCCACTTCGTGCTCTTCGAGTTCCCAGAACTCCATTCCTGGGCTACATTTTGGATGCCCAGAGCCAACTCTAGTTCACTTCCTGGTCTTCGAGTTCCCAGAACTCCATTGCCGGGCAACATTTTGAATAGCCAGACGCTTCATATTCCTTCCGCCACAGCTGTGTTTGGTTCAGGACTTGCTAGTGACACTGCAGTCCTCTGCATTCAATTGGCCACTACATTCATTCACTGCAGTCCACTGAGTTTTGATTGCAATGGCGTTCCCCTGGCCGTACCCCCATGTCCAACGTTCATCCGCAGCCTCTGCTCCGCGAGGCTCGTCCGAAGTGTCGCCGCCTCGCGGTGCTTCTCAGCCTGCGCCGCCTCGCGGTGCTTCTCAGCCTGCGGAGGAAGGTGGACAGACGCCTGGTTCTGGCGCTGTGCAGCCTGCGTCTTTCACGGTCGCCTCGTTCAATTTCGGGTTCGAGCAGGGCATGATGACTGGTAAGCAGGCGGCCACTCACTGCGCTAACTTCGGAAGGTTGTGCGCCAAGATAGTGGAGACCGCTGATGCTGATATGGTCTGTGGCTGCGAGGTCGGTGCGTTCCGTGAAGGCTTTCGCCGAGCAGGGATCAACGTGACAGAGATCCTCAGTAAGCCTTTCGGTGATGGCATTCGCTTCTTGGAGGTCGACAACTACTTGACTCTCTGGGGGTTCCGCGGTGCTTCTCAGCCTGCGGAACTGACTCTGTGCGAAGACAGCAAAGTTTACAGGCCTCCTAGCGGCCGAGATATTGATGCTGTTATTTCACATTTTGAGGTGAACAAACCAGGCCATGACAAGTTCCACGTGGTGATCGCCAACATGCACATCGTGTGCGGCAAGAAACCGCCGACCATCCAGACTCGAAAGCGGACAGTTCGCCATCTCCGCTTGCACCTGGACGGCCTGGCCAAGATTCTTGAGAATCTAAACGAGGCAGTCGTTGTGCTTGTAGTCGGCGACGACAACCTCACTTTCCAGGAGGCGCGGGAGGCTTACCAGCGCGAGCAGAACGACGAGAAGGTATGGGAGGTCCATGCCACTCCGGCCGACCTCAAAGGCGACCACGTCGCGGTCTGCGGAGCAGTCGCCCGTTTCTGCTCCATTGCCGTTGGCGCGTCTTTTACGGATCGTGGCATGCGCAACGACGCACACGATGCGGTGGCGGTTGTGCTCACTCTCCCTGGTGCTATTCAGCCTGGGGAGAGCAAGAGGCGGAAAATTGTCGTCGAAAACGTCTCCGACGCCGACGTCAGCGTACAGGCGGACCGCGAGTCTTCTGTGCATTGGGATCGGTCGCCGAGTTCTGCTCCTCCGCTTTCACCGACTTCACCGGGTGATCCCGACTACGTCGAGGATGTCGTTCAGAATCGCGCGGACGACTTGCACAGGGAGCTGAGGAAGCTTTGGGACGACAGGTACGACGAGGAGTACGATCCGAAAGTCCTCCATCATCTCAGTCTCTTGCTTTTCAAAAAGAGGAAGTCCACGGATCCAGCGGACACTGATCCAGCTGGCGCTCCTCAGCCTGGCTCGGAATATGACGCGGCCTTTGCGTCTCAGGAGGAGACTGGCCGAGCCATTCTCTCTGTCCTTAAGCTTCGACATGACTTTCTGCGGAGCAAGAACATCGACGACATGCTCTACGTTCTCACGGAGCCTGAGCGCCAGGAATTGGTCAGAGTAGCTCGCGACCAGTACGAGCAGTCGCGGCAGCAGCGTGCGCTTCAGGAACGGGATGTCGAAAAGGGAAAAGCGAGAGGCAAGTCTGCGCCACAAGGGGGCCATGCGGTTCCGCAGGGTCCTAACAAAGGGCCAGGCGGTAAGAAAGGTTCTCACGGTGCTTCTCAGCCTGCGGGAAAAGGTGGCCAGGCCAAGGGTGCAGGTCTGGGTAGCGTCGCCAAGTTTGTGAAAGACCAGAAGCGTAAGCGGTGGCATCGCCATTTGCAACGTGTGGCCGGTACCAAACAGATCTGGGAGGTGCTGGCCTTCTCAGGGCGCTTCGACGTTGATTGGCTAACGCAAGCGTTGCAAGCTGATCACAGTGAGGGCCGTGATGCAGCAGTTCCCGAGGAAGCTCTGCGGCAACAGCGGCGCCGGCTGCACCACCAGAAGGCCGAGGCCATCGCGCGCTACAACGAGGGGGAGCGGCTTTCCCTCCATCTGTCTGCCCAGGCTGGCCAGGCAAAGCCGAACTTCACGCGCAGGCAGCAGGACGTGTTGCAGATGTTTGAGAGCGGAGCGCTGCTTCAAATCCGCAACCAAGCGATTCTGGCGTGCGGGCACGGCCGTCTGTTCAGGGGCGATGGCGACTACCTGGACATCGGCGGCAGCACGGGCGGTGGCTCCAGGCGCATCATCGATTCTTGGCAGCCGCCGGACTGGCGTGACTTCCTCCAAGACGATCAGGACATCTGAGTTTTGCAAGTCTCTCTGCCCGCGGTGCTTCTCAGCCTGCGGTCTGCCGCTCTCCAGCTGCGGTCTCGAGCAGTAGTGTTCGAAAGCATGCGAGTTCCTGCGGTGCTTCTCAGCCTGCAGGTTTCGCAGCCTGCGCTCTGCAGTACAAGTGCTTTTCAGCATGCGACATCCTGCGGTGCTTCTCAGCCTGCAGGGTTCGCAACGTGCGGTTTGCAATGCATTCCTTTTCAGTATGCGAGTTCCTGCGGTGTTTCTCAGGCTGCAGGGCTCCGAGGCTCTTCGCTTCGATGCCAATGTTTTCAGACACCGTAGCTCCGTTCCGTAAACGTCTTCCAAGAGCCGCTCGCAACCTTTTGCAGCTGGCTGTCTGCACGCTTCGCCGGCTTTTGCTGCGCGGACAATTTTCTCACACACGTCAGCGCCGTTTGTAGGCGTCAGAAAAACATGTAGACATTCACGAAGGGCTCAGTCTGTATATCGTCACATCATTACATACGCAGTCGTCGAACACATCGGTGTACATTCAGCGCTTTGTCCTTCTACAGCATTCTTTCCGTTGATAACAGTGTTCTGATGGGTTCGCTTCGTTCTAAAAGCGTTGATAGCAGTGTCTCGTTTGCGGACAACTCATTCTATATCAACTCACTGATACCGAGTTTCCTTTCACCATAAGTGAATGCATACCAGTGTATGTTGGTTACTACAAAAGTGGGTTCCTACAACCGACTTCATGATCGCTATCATCATCGCAGATTTCACTCATCCTCATCACCACGACTGGTTCACGTTGGCCTGCGGTGCTTCTCAGCCTGCAGTTCCTTTCGTTACACTGTAGTTGAAGCCGTTCATGGCAGTGACTCGTTTAAAGACAACTTTAGTATTGGGGGAAGTGTCGATAGCAGCGTTTCTTTTTACTTATACAAGCGTTGATAGCAGTGTCTCGTTTGTGGACAACTCATTATATATCAACTCATTCATACAGAGTTTCTTTTCGCAGCAAGTGAATGCACAGCAGTGTATCTGCATTACTGGCCCCCACTCCATTATCACTATCATCATCAACGATTTCCTACACGCGTGTGCGCGGCGGTCGCCATGAGTGAATAGTTTGCAGAGACTTCTCGCATTGATACCCATGGGTCACTTCAGAGTGAACTCATTTGTGATCTTCTTTCATTGGAAGTTGAATCGGTTGATGGCAGTGCCTCGTTTAAACTCCACTTTGGTATTGCTAGTAGTGTCAATGCCAGCGTTTCTTTTTAATTGTGCAAGCGTTGATAGCAGTGTCTCGTTTGTGGTTAGTTATAACAGCGTTGACAGCAGTGTCTCGTTTGCGGACACCTCATTGTACATCAACTCGCTGATACCGGGTTTCCTATCAACACCATCATCATCATCCTTAACCTCCTCGTAGCCATTTTGCTTAGAGCTGTAGCCACATGTTTGCTCGAGTTTCACCTGGCCGTCCAGCCGCGGCGGTGCTCCTCAGCCTGCCTTGTCACAATGCCAGCACGCGGCAAGGCATCGCCCCCGCCACCCCCGGCCCCGTGCGATGGCCCGTGGGAGATTCTGC